GTGTTTGCAGCTTAGGGATGAAACATAGGCAACAAAAGCTACATTCAGCTTTTATACATGTCCTTACTAAATGTCCTATATCGTATTCACAAAATATGCTGTTTTACTATCTTGCTTTTCGCTTCTTGTTTTCCTTTTTTCATAGCCTCCTTAATCTCTTTTAATCTTCTCCATACTTCAGCACCACCACTTTGGCCCTTTTGTACCTCCAGTATTTCCAACACATAACTATACCCCACTCTTCTGTGCTTTCCGTTTTGTTACCTTTAACGCCTACTTATTTTTTGATCATTCCTTCCATACCGTTTTACTCAGTCACATTCTATTGAAGGATGAAGAGAAAATAAAACGAAGAAAAAACGAAGTAAGCGGGGGAAAGGGGACTTAGTAAGTATTTATAATAGGTAAGAAATGTTTCGGTCCATTAAGTCGTATACATTTATTACTGATTCTTTCTGTTTCATTTCATTCTTGCTGATGTTTTTTTTTTTTCATGATCCTGTTACAAGCGTTTTTCTCTTTTTTTTTTTTTGCTTTTATTTAAGGGTTAAAAAAGGAAATATTAGGAGACAAAGGAAACAAGAAAGAAGAGGAAAAGGATATTATAATAAGTAAAGGGTATAAAGAAATATTTGTTATAGGTAAGAAATGTTTCGGTCCATTAAATCGTATACGTTTATCAGCTTTTATTTATCAGCTTTCAATGATTAATACCACATTTCTCGGCAAATATTCTCTCCCCCTCCCTGTCCTCGCATCGTTATCAGTTTCTTATCATTTTATCGTTTTATTTTGATGCGCCCATCTTTCAGGTGTTTTTCGCATACGCTGCTAATGAAGCTGTTGCTTGCTGGCTTCACCGTGTGATTCAGGGTGGTGGAGCTAGCACCTAAGCGATAAGAAAAAAAAGAGCCGATATCGAGGAAAATCGAAAGGGCCCCGCTCGGCAAATTCTATAAAAAACGAGCAAAAAAAGCGCTTTCGAATGCTTTTTATCAGTGGCATCAACGTTATCAGCAACATCAATGCTATCACTTCAACGTGCCACACTCCCACTCAGATTTTCATGGGCGACCCACCGAGCACACACACTACAGCACGGTAAATTTGCAACAGCGTTTGTGTCCGATATGAGCGCAACGCAGCCGAAGAAGCGACCACGCTATGCGGAACGTATTGCGGATGTAAAACCGAGTTTATGGTAAGTCCCTGCCCCACTTCACATCAGAGATGCTATAAAAAGAATGGGCAATTACTAAAACTGGGCTCGGCCGTTACTCTAACATCTCTGCTAACGCTGTTTCGCGACGAGGCTCACTGACTGCGCTTGACCGCAGCGCTGTAAGGACACCCGAAAAAATCGTTTGCAGATCGTGTGTGACACAGGCTGGGCCGAGCCGAGCCGAGTTTTTGTAATTGCTATAAAAATTCCTTATGGCCAGCACTTCTTGCCTGTTTCTCTGTTTGCATGTTTGTTGTGATGATTAAACTTCAAAATTAAAAAGAAAGGCGGGGAGAGAAGCTAAAAAGGTTACTGAAATTTTTTATGCGAAATCTCGGTTATGATCCGATAATCTTCATCGATGAAGCTTTTTTTCAGGGTGGAATTCACAGCATTGGCATCCGAGTGCAAAGCAGTGAATATTGGCCAGGTTTCCGATTTTATTTGCTAAAAACATTGCTTTTTTTTTCAGTGGAGTATTAGCTGGAAATATGAGACTAACGACGGAAAAGCCTTGTAAAAACAGCCCAGTAAAATCACGAAATTCTGCACAGTGAATGTCCGGGAAGCCCTGGTGATTTTCTTTTTGTTTGAGTTGAACAACTGTAACGATATTTTGAAATATTAGGATCATAGGTGTGTGATCGAAAAAAATATAACACGCATCGACTCGATATATTGAGAAGTAGTCCGTGTCTCATCTCTTAGCTGTAAACTGAGACAGAGCATAGCGTAGGAGTGGGAATCATCAGTACAGTCTTCCTCAAAAATATGTTTTTGGGATTTTATTAATGAAAATCTTTCTTCTCACACATACAGTGTATGTTTAGAGAGCTTGGTAAAGCTAGCTACTGATAATGT